AGTATGAATGCCAATATGTCTCTTACTATAATAATTTTAACTAAATATTCACTGTAATTTTGATCATACTGCATACTTAACCAACTAACAGTATTCATGACTGAATTTTCAGCAGAAGATAAAATATATGTATTTTCAAGTACTTGTCATTCTATACTACTATGAAGAGACCAGCCTAACTAGAATGTATTTAGTTTTACGAAAAAATAAGTATTTCTTAATAACACAGGCCAGTATTTCCCTTGAGGGCTCATGACTCTGGAAATAGTTGAACATAAATAGGAAAGGACCTTGGCAAAGATTTGGGAATCATTTTCCATTGTTTCAGCTTTCAATTTCATTTCTGAAGTATTCTTGCCAAAAATGCTTAACTTGGATCCATCAAGCCTGTAGACATATCCTTCCATCTATAGGAAATACAGTGGATGGACTCAGGACTATAGTATGAGAAAGCAATCAGACAAAGCAGAATATGGGAAATTGTTCAAGAAAACTGCTCTTTGTTTAAAAAATAAAGTCAATATCATGAAAAAGTTGTGGGGAGGGCCAGGGAGATAGCTCCGGAGAGTAAGTGCTTGCCTGGCAAGTGCAGATAGCTCAGTAGAGTAAGTGCTTGCCTGGCAAGTGCAGGGTCCTGAGTTCAGTCCCCAGTACCACAAAAAAAAAAAAAAAAAAAAAAAAAAAATAGTGGGCAAACTATTCTCGAAGAAAACAACTGTAAGAGAATCTAAGGAGAGACAGCAATCACAAGTAAGTGAGTGTACCTCAATGGATCCTGGTTCAACAAAAAAGAGCATAATAAAGAATAGGAAAAAAAATAGCTATAAGAGACTTTGGGGAGATAATGCACTGGATCTAAACTAGATTATTTAAATATAAATCTTCAAACTTTATAAAAATTCAAAATTTCATTTATTCATTTATTTTTACACTTTAATCATCAGTCTTTAATTAGTATCCATCACAAGCAGGAAAACTGCTTCATTTGATCCTTATATTCTCAAAAGAAAAGGAAAATTCATGTGTTATTCATTAGAATCAATATCAATAACTATATTTTTACTAATAGCTGCCCCAAAAAGTAATTATTATACTCCTGCAATTTTCCTATGAGGACTTAAGAGTTTAAAAATATCTTTATTTCACAAAATGTCATTGAGAGGCATTTAAGTTCTGTTAAAGAAAAATAATGTAAAATAACTTAAAGCTGAAGACATTTTAAATGAACAGCAACATGCCTTTTTTTCTTTTCTTTTCTTTTTTTTTTTTTTTCCCCAGTACCAAGGATCAAACTCCGGACCTTGTGCTTGCCAGGCAGGCGCTTATACTGCTGAGCTGCATCCCTGCCAAACATGCCTTTTCAAAAACCACTTAAAAGAAAGTTACTTTCAGGGGCTGGGGAGATAGCTCAGTAGAATAAGCACTTGCCTAGCAAGCACAAGGGCCTAAGTTCAATCTCTGGTTCCACAAAAAAAAAAAAAAAAAAAAAAAGTTACTTTCCAAGCTTAAAGTATCACATGATTTAGTGAAAACTAATAAAACCAAGAATGACTCCTTATATACCAAGATATTTTTCCTCATGTAGACCTTCCTGTCAGGACCCTCTTTTGTACTCTTTTGTTAAATAAGTGCTTGCATAATATATGACGTATAGGTATGTTTTCTTTTATAACTTTTCCTTTTGCTTTTTGAGATAGGATTTTGCTGAACAGTTCAGGCTGACCTTGATTGTACTTACACGTCTTTTGTTTTTGTTGTGCTGGAGATGCAACCTAAGGCACAAGCTCTACCAGTGAAGCATACCCACAGCCATGTTTCTGTTTTTAAATTGTTTCTATGTTGTGGAAATCTGAGTACTTTTTACAAGGATAATGAGCTAGGATGGCAAAATTTTCCAATATAGGCTTTAGGCCAGAACTTTAGTTCAGCCAGGTGGATGCACTGGGCCTGTCATGGAATAGGCCCTAGGAGAGTCTGCTGGGAAGTGACACTAGAGGCCTAGATGCAGATCTGTGTCCAGAGACGTTGCTTGGACATGGAGAGGTGTTGGTGACATTATTTAAAATCACAGTCTGACATAGAACATCTAGTTGGAGAAAATAAAGCCTTAAGAGACAATATTAGAAGGTATAATTCATACAGTTAGGAGAAATTATGGATTTGATCAAGCAATGGGGTGGACAGAAGGGCTTATTTCTTATAACAAGAGATTTTTTTCAATAGTAATAGGCCAGAGGGAAGTCTGGGTTAATGTTGAAATCCCAAATTCCTGACCTCTCCTATATGTATTACACTAAATATTTAAAACACAAATAGCTCAGCAGATTAAAGTGCCATTCCCAGGCCTGCTGTGCCGGCCCTGTCCCCAGGGCATGTTGAGAAGGCAATTGAGACTGGGCATGGTGCTGTGCGCCTATAATCCCAGCTCTTGGGAGGCTGTAAACAGGCAATCACTGAGTCTGATTTACGCAGTGAGACCCTGTACACCCTATAAATCCTTCCCTAAAATACAAAACAGAAAAAAAAAATAAGCTATTCCACTAAAGATATCAAAGGTGTCAAAGTATGTATTTGCTTTTCTTACTAACCATCCTCTATCAATATGAAAGCAGTATGAAATACATAGCATAGTTGGATTACAGTACAACTAGATTAAGTCATTACTTGCTCTGGGTGACATTTGATATGAATTCTTACAATGTAATTATCTAACATGAAAATGCTAAGTAGGTATGGAATAATGAACCTAATAAAATGAATTATTTTGAAAGATTATGAAGTAATGCTTAATGTACAAAAACTGACGATGAATTCCACTTGATGATTTAACGAAGGATCCCTTTTATAAAAAGCTAAATTTTTAAAGAACATGAGAATGAAAGTTCTCAAAAAAATATCCACTAGACTGCAAGCTCTTTGAATGACTAGAAAACACTGTTTTGGATATCACTAACTTGCATATAACATCTTTTCAGAAAATCTTTCTGCATCATGTAAACCATTCCCTCCCTTCCTTTCTTCCTTCCTTCCTTCCTTCCTTCCTTCCTTCCTTCCTTCCTTCCTTTCTTCCTTTCTTTTTAACACAGCCTCTCACTATTCAGTCCAGGCTGACTTTGAATTCACTATGGAACCCAGGCTGGCCTCAAACTCATGGCAATTCTCCTGCTTCAGCTTCCCACTTCAGCTTCCCAAGTACTAGGATTACCAGCGCAAACCAAAGCATCCTTAGAAATAGCAAAGAAATAAAAATAAAGTATATGACATGTGGAAATCAATGAAATAATCATACAATATTACAACTTAAATCCAAGGCTGACTCCAAAGAACACAGTCTTTATACTACACTATTTTTTCCTTTTCCTCACTAAAATAACTTACAAAGATTTTAAAAATTAAAGTTGGTGCAAAGCTCAGTGGTAGATCATTTTCTTAGCACACACATGGCTCCAGATTCCACTGCCAGTACCATCAAAAAAAAAAAAAAGATATATCTACATTAACAAAGAACCCATAATCTCAGGGCCAGGGAGACAGCTCAATAGAATAAGTGCTTGCCTGGCAAGCACAAGGTCCTGAGTTCAATCTCCAATACTA